ATATGACCCGGTAGCCAAAACATAGATGTTTGACATATAGTAAATAAAAAAGTAAGAATTTTTAACTTTTACCATTTTCTTTATAATAAAAAGCTTCTTTTCTTACTTCTGCGACCTAAGGAGAAAATCTTGAAATTGATCCATACTTGTATTCAATATTATAGCATCTGCTTAGAAAATAACCAGAAAAATAATTCAAAAATCTCTAACCTGAAGTCTGAGCAAACACGTTTAGTGCTAAAAATTTCGAAGAGAAATTACCTTACAGAATTTTTGTATCATGTTTTTCACTAAAGAAATAAATGTTTCTCAGTTGTACTTAGGGTTGGTGTTTTCATATTGGTTAGACTTAATCAGAAACAACGTTTGGTTCCCGCGCTGTGTCCAATACTCGGTCTAAATAATAATCCTGAGTCGATAATTCGAGCAACCGTGGATGAGTTCCGCATCGCATTTACTCTCGTGGCTAATGCGCGTCCACAGAGATGTCTTACAATGCTGACCGAACACATTATGTCTGCTGTTGACCATAATGTCGAAAAAGACTTAAATGAGCCTATCTGCCATCGCAATATCGCGTTTGGAGAAGGCAGTCTTAATGTTACAGTAAATTGGGAATGCTATATAATCATTATTACTGACTTTTTTGTGCTCGAATCAGATGAAGTTGATATGGATGACTTTTGTTTCTAACAAGACGGCCCTATATGTCATACAGCCAACGATGCAATAAATTAAATGTCAGAAACTTTTGGTGAGCGCATTATTTGCAGTCGTGGGTCTGTGGCATGGCATTCAAGGTCGTGCGACTTAACAGCGCTGGAGAATTTTTCGCCTACGAAGATTAGTTCCAAAACGATTGACGCCTTGAAAGAAAATATTGCAAACATACGCCCCAATTGGTCGAAAATTTGGCCTTACCGCTGGACCTTTTCGAGCCAGTCGCAGCGATCGATATCATTTTCAAAACCTAATGGCACCTTTTAATAAAGCTAAATTCTTGGCAACAGTAATTTATTTATTTATCTGCATTTTATTTCATTTTGAAAACCGTATGTCTTAAAAATATCCATTATATCTTCTGCTTTTGGCACTTAGCTACATATTGACCTCTTTTCATCTTCGTAAAAGGCTTAGTATGCTTAATCCGTTCAGAAGATATAAAAAATACTGGATACAATTCTTGTGATCTATGAAAATTGGGATTTCGATATATGGGGTGTTCTTCAAGAACACAATGAGCAAAGTTAAAATTTAAAAACACAATGAAAAGAGATATTTTAAGATGCATAGAAAGGGTCGATGCCGCTTTAGTTGGATGGGTATCAACCAGCGGCATCACACAGGGCACTGTATGCATAGGTTATTATATTGAATAACGCGGTAGCCGAGTGACTAGCATTGCCTTGATATTCGTAAGGCTCGGGCTCAAATACCTGTTCCACCAACATCAAGAAAAAAAAAGTTTTGGAAAATTAATTTAAATAGAAAATTAGGTTAATTTTTCAAATTGCCCCTCGCCGGAAATGCCCACTCCTCCGAGTGTCTTGCGATCTTTAGTAAAGCACTAAAACTTTTGGTATGACATTACCAGTATATACAATAATAATCCAACGATATGGCCAAGAGATGACTAAACAGAGCCTGTTGTAGAAGGAATACAGAAATGTAGCTGAGATTTCGTAGATTTTTACAAAAACTCCATAAGTCTTAACATATTGCATCAAAAAGGAAAGGAAATTCATCTTACTATTCGGCGAAAGATCAGTGTATTTAGAAATTCAAAAAACGGGGTAACTTCATCAACATGATTTTGACATTGTTTTAGCATCTTCACGTAGTTCCACACCATCGTTCTTTTGGGCAATTTCCAGAGGACAGGAAGGTTCGTTCTGCAGGAATATGTTTTTGAGAACTTACAAGAATTACGCTGATGAGAACTTTGATCATTCTTCCTAGTTGCACATATTTCTGCTCGATAGGCTACAGAGATCGGCATTAAAGAAACTTATTTGAAGAAAACACCGTATGATTCAATCTTAGGTCTACTTTTTCTTTTTTAAATAACCGGCCTTTATTGTTTGTGATGTAAATGAAAAACTCCATTTTCGCCGGTTTCAATCGGTTGCTTGACATTGCCGTATGGGTGATTTCGGGATTGATTGGTTTGCAGAGTTTTCGAATGGTGTAAGACACTGGAAAGAGTTGCAGTAGCTAAGTGGATAGAAATCGGTAAAGGTATGATTTTCACTCTTCTGTGTTTGGAAATTCCATTTATTCATAGGTAAACATTTCATTGTGCCTCTGAATTGGTACCAGAGGACTCCTTCTTTAGCATAATTCCTTTGAAATTGGAGGATAGTACCAGTAAATATCTTTTTGGATGGGGTGAAGCCTCACTGAAAAGCTGGCAGGATAGTATCCTGTCAAGAACTTTTCCCTTCCAATGTGTTAAGAATATAATGTATTTACTAATGTCATTGAGATTTACACGGATTGTTAAGTATCCACTACTACCCTGGATCTCGATGAGTTCTAAAATTATAAAGCAAACACTGGTGTTGAGATCATACTTACATTCATATGTATTTAAATATAAGAATGAAAAAGTAACTGAAATAGTAACTGAAATAGTTACCGAAATAGTAACCGAAATAGTTACCGAAATAGTAAGAGAAGTATTATGCGCATTCGCAGATTTGTGACGAAGGGCAGTACGCCGGCCGGTCCCCAAGACAGGATTTACGGTCAGAAAGGCTTTGTTGTGTGTTTGATGAGATTAGCAAGAAATCATCCACCATGAGGCCCCTACGGCTAAAGTATTAATTTGAGACTGCACTGTCAGCAATTGGATCGAAGCGTCTAGCTTTGGCTAACAGGAAAGAAATTATGATTCAACACGACAACGTCTGATCAAAGATATTAATTGGGACAACTCGCCAAAAGTCCCGAAAGCTTTGTTGGGAAATTCTTACTTCTCCACCTTATAGTCCAGATCCCATGTCTATGGCAAATAATTTGTGCCGATTGGGACAAGGATTTCAATGGGAGAGACAAAATACGATTATCTTTAAAATTCACAGTGAAGAAAATATAGCGGCCGAAGCTGAAAGTGTACAAGAAAAACGTGAAGCGTCGATTCGGCGTCGTCTGCAGCAACTTGGCGCAATTTACGCCGAGATCTCATAGTGAAAGAGTAAAAAATACAGCTTGTGCAAGAAATGAAGCCGATCCACCTTCCCAAGCAAAATCGTTTCGCTTTATGAGCTCATGAAAAGTTCCAAGAAGATCCGACGTTCTTCGAGAATGATACATGATGCCCATTTCTAGATCAATGGGTATGTCAACAAGCAAACTTTCCGCATTTGGAACGAAAAGCAGCCTGAAGGGATCCAAGAGCTGTCATTTCTTTCAGAAGAAACAACGGTTTGGTGTGGTTTGTGGGCCGATGGAATCATCGTTCCATATTTCTTCAAAAGTGATGCCGGTGAGATTGTAACCGTCAATGGTGACCGTTATCGCGCCATGTAATCGACTATTTCATGCCTGAATTTGGAGGTCTTGATGTCAAGGACATTTGGGTTCAACTTCTCACACATCGCACTAATTAATGGATTTATTAAAAGAACACTTGTGAGCAGATAATTTCCATGGAGCAAAACATCGCGCGTTTCATTCGGCAGTTGCCAGTAGAAATGCTCGAACGAGTCATCGAAATTTGGACTCAACGGATGAACAATCTGAGACGAAGCCGACATTGGGAAAAGATAATCTCAAAAACTAAATGCTTAAGAATGTTCTCTTGAATGTACTGTTTTTTTTTATTTATTTAAAAATGTAGGGAACCTTGAATTATCAATTTGTTTTGCGCTACGAACTGAATTCCTTCCGCTCAATAAAAAATGCGTAAATTCTTTGCTATGCACACACTCATATATTTCCAAGTTAGAAAAAATACGTTTATTAATATATATTTACATAAATACATTTTTAAAATATTTACGCACACGAGTATATATTTCAAGTGTTATGCGAACCACCTGTTCGATTAAAACAGATTAGGCGCTCGAAATGACGGACAAAAGGCTTGTTTACACCCTGTCTCACGGTATTTGTTATTGTTTTGAAATATGCAATATCAATGGATATGTAGGTATGTATGTACATAGATGCATGACAAACCAGTAAGCACCACCTCGACTTACAATGCATAATGCAATTTAGATTACGCAGCCAACACCCAAATACGTGTAGATGTATGCGTATGTGTGTGTGAGTGTAAATAAAATACGTTGCATTTTAGCACAAGTATTGTAGTTGTTGGTGGAGGAGTGCAACTTGATTAGTGGATTATTTACATAAATAAAAACTATAAACTCAACACTAGCAATACCAACAACACCACCACCACCACCAACACAGTCAAGTCAAAATTGTAGTGTTTAGAACGCAAAAAATAAAACTTGGAAAAGCAAAAAAAAAAAAAAAGTTGTAAACGACTTTATGCCCAACAGCAGAGCCGAAAGTGTGTTGGTGCCAAAGCTTCGATCGACCAAGCGATCGAGCGACCAATTTCAACACCATCGCGCGCTGATCGACTGTTACATTTTTACACGAGTCATGGGCAACATTTTGTTTATGAATATGTTGATATGTTTGTATGAGTGTAATGGAAATTGGTAGAAAAAATTGCGCTGGCCACATTACCATGTCCGCCGTTTGCTAACCAACAGACTGAACACACCTGCCCGTGTGCCCTACTCCGCTCCATTTGGCCAACATTCTCTGCGAACGCTCCCAGGCTACATTGTTGCTGTTGTTGCTATTGTTGAACGCTTGCATTGTTGTTGTTTTTGGTATTGTTGCTGGAGTTATGGTTGACTACAGTCTTCTGGCAGTTATCTAGTTTGTATATTTGTGAAATTGTTATGCTTGCCGCTCGCGGTTCGTTGGCGGTATAAAAGCGTTCGACTCGTTGATTTTCTTTTGAGTACGTCGCTGTTACGCTGGAGTCTGCTGCTGTTGCTGCTGCTGATGGTGCAAGTGCATTAATCGATTCGTAAATTAATCGGTGTTGATTTTGTAGTGCATCGACAACAACAACAACAATAATAATAAACTATTACAAAAACAAAAGCAAAAGTATAATTAAAGTTTTAAGATTTTATGAAAAGTTTCTGTGAAAATTATACAAGAAATACAGATTTAAAGATTGTGCAAAAAGTCGACTGGCTTAATAATATTAAACTGAAGTCGAAAAGAAAACCGTTAGTCGATAGCCATTGGATTAATGTTGTCTATGTTTTAACTGTGATTTCTGAGCTTTTCTGGATATTATTGAAACAAAGGAAAATGAATAAATTGGTAAGCAAATGATTATGGTGGAAAGGAAAAAGTTTTAGTCTTTATTAAAGAAATATTAAAAAAAATTTAAATGCATTAAATAAAAGAAAACAATTTTTTAACGTATTAAAAAAAGGTGAGTTTATAGACTTCAAAGTTACAATAACAATTAAAATTTTGTGGTTCTCAGCAGATTTTTAAATAGCATATCATAGCTTTTTGACTTAAAAATTCTACGGCTTGCTTTGTCACTTCTTAAACGCAATCATAATTTCAATTAAGACGTCCTTAATAGTCTTATGTCGAAGAAATTTGGATTTTAAAAAATATTTCATTTCTTCCAAATTTGGCAACTCTATCATTTGCCATGTAAAACGAAATAATGCCAAAAAGGTTAAGAATTATTAAAATTCCAAGTGAAGGCGTACTGATTATAAAAGCTTAATATAACCGTATTTCGCATAGCTTTTTTATCTGCTAAAAAGCTTGGCGAAAATGGTTGAAACTTTTCTTTGGAAAAAAAATGATGTTTGAAAATTCGAAGCGTTGAAAAAGTGCTCGTGGGTTATTGGGTACAAAAATTTGAAGAAAACTTTTGTGAGTGATTTAAAAACATATTTTGAAAAAAAAAAACACGAAGATGTACATACTATATATCAACATCTGCGTTAAGCACCCTATTTTTTGAACTTACTTATAAAAGATTTTTTAGTTAGGAGCTCCAAAACATTAGGATTTTCAAACATTTTTCACGAGGAAAATTTTAGCTTTATTATTTTGTGCATTTGTAAACATATTACGAAAGGTGCCATATAGCAATTTTTCATTTATAAGCTGCTACAGCAGATCTCCGAGGACCCCCTCGTTTTGCCGCGACCATTGCATTTCTGAAGTTATACATCTGAAAAGTGTAAATCTGCAAAGTGATTTTTTTAAACTAATGTATAATCTTGTGATTAATCGAAGGAATAAGACAAAATGATGGCTTCCCAACAAAAAAAATTAAAATTTTCTCCAAAGTTTTGGTCTTGAATTACAAATTGAAAAAAAAAATACTTTTCATCATGGTTCATGGTTCAGTAGCTTGTGTAAAAATTTGAGACTTAACGGTTAAGCAGTTCCCGTGAAATCTTGGTCCCCGACTTGAGAAACATAGTTTTGAGAGCCACCGGCTTGCTGATGTCAAATGCTCTCACGCGACGTTACAGATATGCGTGTAACTTGCAAAATAGCAGTCCGATCGACTTGAAATTTTCAGAGTATTTACTTGAATACAAGTAAATTGCGAAAATGAAATTATGAAAAAATCGATTTTTCAAAAATTCTAAACATATATAACCCGTTAAGTATTAGTATTATATTACACTAAAAAAAAATATATATATTTTGAAGGCTTTATTTGCCATAGTTAGAACTAAGCCTTGTATGTACCGTTTTTTTGCCAATTTGTAAGGTAATGTCATTATGCTTCTTCTTGTCACTGGAACAATCGATTTTCATAGACTTCTCTTGAGTCCAATTCTTCACCTGCCAAACCAAACGTAATGGACAGAAACGGAAAGTAATACTAACCAAGCTCTCAGTGCTTCTGGGGAGTCAATATCACTGTGTGTGTGCGGTCTGACGTTATCCTGATGAAATAAAATTCCTCTCTCATTGATCGAAGCTAAGCGCTTTCAATTCTGGTTTGCTGGTTTGGAGAACATTTGTGCCCGCTCACTGGCCTTTGATCTCAACTGTTTTCGTTGTGCGTTACAAGTGATTCCCTTTTCATCACAAGTCCTCTGGGGCTTGGTGATAAACTCAAATAAAATGCAAGAGCTCTCAGTTCAAGTATTGACTAGAGAAATAAATGCCATTAGCTCCCTGTTTATCTCTAAAAATATCAGCCTTTCGTAAACATCTTTTAAAACACTCAGAAGCCCAAAAAAAATGTTTGCTTAAGCTGGTAAAAGCCCAGTACTCAAAGGCTAGTACCTTGTTACTAGCGTAAGATGCCGTTAAAGTGACCAGCGTAAATAATTTATTAGCGTTACTCAAAGTTTGTCACTTATAATAGTAAATGAAAAAAGGCGAACTTTTGGTATGTTCACAATTATGGCCACAATTTAAGGTCACTATTGAGAGTATAAGTTGACATCATTGGAGTTGTGTCATGTGGCCTGCATGGCACGTGATAATTAGGGATTTCGTCAACCCAGGCATTGTTGAATGTTAATCACGGCTGGGTAGGGGTTTAAGAATATTCTCTTTGTGAGGTACGTCTGTCTTAAGAGGCGACTACAATCCAAAAGTTGCCGCGAATGAATTTTTATCCGGCCAAGGACTGTAAATTCCGCAATGTTCCCCCAAACCTGGGGAATATTTTTGTAGCTGCAACAGCCTCGAGCCTTCAAATTAAAGAAAAAAAGAGTAAAAATAGAGTTAATGTTAATAAAGGGAGATATTAATAATAATAAAAGAATAAAAATAGTTCAAGCATAATTTAAAAAAAAAATATCGCAAAAATTAAAATCTTTCTTTAAATCTCGAGCAACTTGTTTCTTCAAATATTGAAAATATTTTAATTAAATTTATTAATATTAGTTGATAATTACATATATATGTATGTGTTCTGTAGACTGTGTTCTAAAAATTTCAAGAAGAATCTTGTCTCATATACGAACAGAGCAAGGCAGATAGTAAATGTGTAGGATGGCTTTTATTCAAGAAAGAAATTTGGCATCACGAGCATTTCAAAAATTTTAGTTTTTTTTTGAGATAAACATTTTGAGTGGCAAATAACGTTTGAAAATTGTTCAAAACCTCTGCCCGATACAGGGGTATCCTTATATCTTTATCTTTATAAATTACATAACCTTATGGTAAATGAGTGGAAAGAGAGAGAGGGAGTCGTTTACACCAACCGTAGTCCGTTATGCGTCACTTTGATGCTAATAAGTTTCATTTTTAACATAACAGTGTTCTACGAAATGCAATATGTCCGTTCATGCATTACTTGCTCACTAGTTAAGTACTAGCTCATTTACTCTACTTCGGAAAAAATAAGAAAATTTCGAGAGAGTGTGGCTTAGAAAGTGAAAAGGGTATACCATAAAAAAATTAATTATCTTGACTAAATTTTTTCTAAAATTTATTCATTTGTCTTCTTATTCAACGCCAATAACATTAAAAATATTTTAAATTGTAAAATAAATCTGAAAGCAATAGGAGAGAGGAATAAGTTAGTACATGTCACCTGCGAGCGCACAATTGTACTATGAAATCGGGAACGCGGCTTTAAACATTCGAGAAACCTGGGGAAAGCAACGACAGAAAATACAAATCATTCGTTGTTTTCGCTCTAAAATTCAATTGAACCCATCAGAAAGTTGTGACCGGAAATCCTTATTGGAACTGTTGCTATGAATAAATGTTTCTATATGTAAAATATTCATATTCCATGAATATATTTGCGAATTTATATAATATTATTTATTAATTATATTGTTTTCAATGAGACAATTCTTGCTCGTCAGTTGGTATTTTGGTAGTTGGTTCTGTTCGCGCGCTACATCCAATATTCGGTCTAAATAACCTCCCAGCAGAATTGATAAAAGGAACAACAATGGGTCGGCTTCTCATCACGTTTACACTAGTAAATAATGCGCAACCCCAGAGATGCCGTACAGTGCCTTCCGAAGACGCTGTTGTGGAATAGTGTATCGAAGAAGATCCGTATGAATCCATCTGGTATCACACGCAACAATTGGAGCTCTGCTTATCCACTTTGTGGAAAATTTTGCGGTTGAATCTAGATTTGCGGACTTACGAAATTCAACTCGTGCAACAATTGAAGCTGAACGAGATGAATGGGTCCACAATGACATATCCCAATTCTCACAAGAAAGTTCTGTTCAGCGATGAAACACACCTTTGGTCGAAAGGGTACGTTCAAGCCATTGTTGAGACGCTCTTACACCCTCAAAAGGTCACTTTTTATTGCGCTCTTTAGACAGAAGGAATCATTGGCTCATAATTCTTCAAAAATTAAGCCTATCGTAATGAATGAACCATAAATCATGAGAAACGCTATAGAGAATTGAAGGATTAAAGCCTTTTCCGTGCTTGAATTGCAGGATTTCGATGTGTATGACCTTGGGGCGCAACAAGACGGCGTTACATGCCATACAGTTAACGAAAAATTAAATGTTTTGAAGAAAAATTTTGGTGAGGGCACTTCGTTGTGTTGTAGGCCTACGGCGTGCTCTCTAAGTTCGTGGGATTTAACAACCCTGGAATATTTTTTTGTGCGATTATATGAAGACGCTTGTCTATGCAGATAAGCCCGAGTCGATAGATGATTGGAAGAGAATATTCGGCGCAACAGCTGCATTGGCCGAGTACTTAGCATTGCGTAATGTTATTCGGATTGCCAGAGTTCGAGTCCGGCTTAGAATAATATTCAAAATTTATATGAAAGTAATTTTTTTTGAAATGAAAATAAAATTTTTTATTTGCGGTCACTGCTCGACAGGAAATATCAACCCTTTCGAGTTTATTTCTGACATGAAATAAAAGTTCTTAATAACAAAGCCATCAGCCATTCAGAGGTGCTTAGTATAAAATCTAGGCCTATCCAGTTGAAAATTAATGGAGCCCATCGCGGCGGTCGCTTGGTCGAAATCATTTTTAAAACATAGGGCGCGAGCCCTTCTCTTTATAGTTAAGCTCAATTCTCGGCCAAAACAATATTTTTTTCCCATTTTATTTCTTCCCGAAAATTATCTGTCTGAAAAAAATATCCATATTTATGCATGAACAAATATTTTTTGCCTAAAATCTATTTGGAGGTAGTCAAGTATGTACATACATACATATTAGCGAATGCCACACAGGTGGCAACGCGGAAAAGACAGCTTTTTAACTGTAAATAATAATAGCAAAATATGCGTGGAATGCGTTTTGTGAAATTCTTTGAATGTAAAATATTTAATTTTTTATTGCGTTTCGGAATTATAACGCAACCAAATAGTTCCTTTGTACATACATACATACATATGTATGTTACATACAATATTTATTTGTATATACGCTTAAGACATATTAGCCACTCGAGAAACCAGTTCAGTGATTGAACCAGAATTTTTGCTTTGGCTCATTTGAGCACTTACATATATATATACATATATATATATATATACATATATATACATACATATATATACATACATATATATTTATGTCGATCATTAGAGATAATTGAAATTACGTAGGTGCATGAGTAGAGATTACTTATGCAGATATCTAAATACCATAAATACCATGAATATGTATACACGTATGCATGTATATGTTTCGTATATTTGTAATATAATATTTATAAATACCATAAACTTGTGCCTTGACATGGCTTGTACGAGCTTTGGGCTTAAAACCATGCGTGTGTGCACAGAGCAATTGTTACACTTCCACATACCTTGACAAGTACATATATACTTACACAAATCTCTACAGAGCAGAAGATGGCCTTGGGTAGTTGAAAACGCCTGTTGCACACTTACTAATTCTCCTTCGATTGCAAACCGACATTCTTAAGTTGTTGTTGCAATTAATTGTAGCAAAGCTGGCAATAATGCATGGTATGTATGTGAAAGTGTGTGTTGCTCTACAAACAGCTCTAAATTAGCAATTATTACTGACTTTTGTGGTATTATTTTAATGAGAAGTGAAAATGTAAATAATATTAAATTAACTGGTATCGAAGAACACTTATGGCTCCTCTAATGGTAGCTATACTGTTGCACAGTGGTGTGGAGTAGATTAATTTTTGTGCAAAATGTTTTAACATCGTTACGGGTTAGGTGTTATAGCAAATATGGTGGCGAAATTTATTGATTTGTCAGCAACAGATTGAGTTCAGTTTGTGTTGAGGCGTTGAAAGACCTGCCTTAGTGCATATTTTGAGAGCAGAAACAAAGAAATAGTTTAAGATATGAGACACCCTTTCATTAATTAGTCTATTTTTGTTTTAGAAAAAAGAATAATTATCGTGTCCCTAGCAAATCGTGTAGCGCAAGTAGTAAGTCGTCAAAAAAAAAACTTCAATTGACAATGTCAACTTCCATAGCATAATGCAGTATGACCTCCCTGTGCAGATTTCTATTTCAGAGTCTTTAGATACACATCATTTAATACCTCTTCTTTTTTCTTCTTCTTTACTTCTTTTTCACTTGATCTTCTATTCCCGGTTTGGTGCCAATTGGAAAAACCAAGAACAGCCAGCGGGTTAGGGGCTCAAGAATTTACCCGCGGTAAGGCATGCCTGTCGTAAGAGGCGACTAAAATCCAATCGTTCCCGCGACAGTGGGGTCTTTATATTCACTCCCGAAACATTCCCAAAAAGGACTTTGGGGAATCGGCGGCTACTGCATCGAAATATCTCAAAGCTGGAGTATTCCTATCCATACGGACCACACCACCTACCCAGCGTAGCTGCCGCTTCTTGATTCGAACTGTACTATGTCAAAGTCGCCGTATATCTCATACAGCTCATCATTCTAATGGCTGTGTTGTTCACTTTTATCAACTCTTAAAGGATCATAAATCTTACGCATAACTTTTCTTTCGAAATCTCCTAACGCCGACTCATCAGATGTTGACATCTTTGATGCCTCCGCACCATATAGCAGAACGGGTACAAGAAGCGACTTGTATAGTTAGGTCTCTGCTAGTATAATTTTCCATTCAGTTCAAAGCAGCACCTGTTAGCAAGAGTGACTCTGCGTTGGTGGATATGACATTGTTGTTGGTGTTAATAGTGGTTCCAAGATAGACGAAATTATCAACAACTTCAAATTTTTAATTTATTAACATTAAAATAACAAAATTTAATTTTTTTTTTTTAGAATTAAAAATTTTTTATATAAAAAATTTAGGTTCTCCTTCCTGCATAAATAATCAACCCCTAATTAATTACTTTTTTTCATTTCATAATTTAAATGGAAAATTATTTTTTATTAATAAACTAAGTGCTATAATTATAATAATAATAAACCCCACAATATCCTTGAATGTAATTAGCCAAGTCGCTAATTTTGCTTGTTTGAGATTTTTCGTTTCTTTACTGGCGAGTAACAACAGCGCGCCAATTGGGAATACCAAGTACATCCAGGTCTTTTCAACAGAGTGGAGGTCTTAAAACTTAACTTTCCGCTCAAAAACATCTAACGGCGACTAATCTGATTTTATCATCTTCCATGTCTCCGTTACATATAGAAAGATGGGAATAACCAGCGACTCTTAGGCTCTGGTTTTTGTTCGTCTTGAGAAGATTTAACTTTTCAATTGCCTAGAAGAAATTTCCAACGACCTCAAAGTCAACAGTGACGTAGAAGCCAAGTCGAAAATGTGAGGACAGTTTGTATGTTGACAGGAGATATTTCGTCTTGCCCTCGTTATCCAGTCTGGAGAAAGTAAAACTCATGGCGCGGTCCTTGAGGCTAAGGATATCAATATCAGCGGCTAAGCAAGCAGTTTTTTTTTGTCTAAGTATAAGAGATTGGAAGTAGGTTAAGCTAAATGAAGGCTTGGGATAGTGCCATCACCGACAGGATGTTGCTTTGAGAAATAATTTTGAAGAAAAATAACCGATTTTATGCGTCTTGATGCTTTTCCAACTAATGGAGGGACCTACAATTTATGCCAGCCCGCCTCCGCAGGGCCGATGGATTTTTTATGAAAAGCCTTTATTTCGTGTCTCAAATACACTCAGAGGGGTTGATATTTCCTGCAGTAGGGTTGCGGTCACCGGAAAATTTAAATTAATTTTTTTTTAAATCAAGCAAGCAGTACGTAATGCTAACCACTCGGCTATCGTGGCCGCCGCACTCCTTTTGACATTTGGTTTATATGGATATGGAAAACAACAAAAAAAAATTAATAGAAAATTCCACGTGACTAATGATAATTCAGAGCATTGAATTTTGGTGGAGGAAAATGATGGAAAATACCACATAATGCAAAAAAATCTGAATGGGTTGAATTAGAATTTTAGGCGAATTACGAGGAAGCGGATACATTTTCAGATCTTTCAATCAATTTATTTATAATCTCAAAATTGTTCTCTTTATCTATAAAAACGCCCAAAACTGTCCCTTTGATTACCAGTGATACATTTTTTTTACCCATCAGTTCTTTTTTGATTGTATGAAACAGGTAATAATCACTCATGGCCAGATCAGGGTTGTAGGGTTGCCGAGGCGCAGTTAACTCAATACGTTACCTCGTAAACTTCACGTGAATTTAGAAAACAATTCAACATAGTTAATGTTTAGAAAAGTATCTCTGTCTAAAAAGCTAAAAATGTTTTTAACTTTGTCAAAAGATGGTCAAAAGAATTTTAAGACCTTTTTTTTAACTAAAGCACTTTATACGACTTTGGTGAGGCCAATATTAGAATATGGCTCACTGATAATGGAACCCAATTTTCGATAAGTTAGAGTCTGTTCAAAAACAATTTTTTACTTTTCGTATTAAGACATTTCTCCTCCTACCAAACGTTTAAAACTGGTAAGTCTACCGACTGTCGAGAGTCGTAGGGCAATATTAGACGCCCTCAACGGATCAATTTTAGTTCATGGTTCTTATGTGAGGTAAACTTTAATTAAAAAAAAACAAATTATGAATCGAATGAGCGCTTTCGCCGATTTTGTCACGACTTTAATTTTTATTCCCGCACCTTCGATCTTTTAGCATCAAAATAACTATTCTTACTTCTCTAAGAAATCAAAATTACAATAAAAATCCTTATTTACTAAATTTCAGCTGGTGAACAATTATTTCTGCTGTAGCTGAACAGTTGTAAATCTCGACGCTTCCCAATCATGATTCTGCATATTCCGTACGTTATGCGGATGTCGCCTCTAGTGTCGGTTGGGCTTATTATTGTGTTGCCCAAAAAGTAATTGCGGATGTTTTAAAAGAAAGTAAATACATTTTTAATAAAACTTAGAATGAACTTTAATCAAATATATAATTGCCATTTTGTTCGATAACCTTTTGCCATCTTCCTGGCAAATTTAGTATTCCACGCTCATAGAACTTCTGGCCTTTATCTGCAAAAAACTGAACCAAGTGCGATTTTATAGCCTCAT